TTTTAAACAGGTTTAAACACCATTAAAAGCAGTCGAAAACTACGTTAAAAATACACTTTTCGCCCTGTTTTTAATCTATTTCATAAAATAGGTTTAAAATAGTGTTTGGTTTGGTAAGGGTATTTTCTAAACGTCACGCAACTCAGCAAGTCTGTAGGTTTGGAACTGAAAGACTGCAGGCTGAATTTGTAGCACACACTCTGCGGTACTTTACGTATACCACACGTGGCGTGACAATTTTTGTTAAATTCTCCTTGTGGCAGGCAATGACAGGTTATTTTGAATTTTCGGCTCCTTGCCTTGTCTCTGTAAACAATGTCTTTGGTATTCTATTATAGCTATTCCTGAACGAATGTACTCGCGATGGGGTGTTATCTTGTTTGCGCAAACCCAAATCGTCGTTTGGTATGTCTTCGGTGCGGGCTGTACAGGAATCATCAGGCTCTCAAATTGTGAGTGTGTATCTGCAGGAAACAATATAATTCTGACAAACGGTGCACGCATCGAGAGACATGCATCCCAAGCAATGTAAGCAGAAAAGCTTAGCAAGTCAAAATAAGGCAGCCACTGAATATCGATAGATCCATCTCAGTGCAAGAAAATGCATATGTACAATATTGATTTCTTCCTAAATACTGTGTTTATAGTTCAATTTACACAGCACCCAGGTTGTTAACAATTTTATATGTGCAATATTTGTTCGCTTTTTAGTGTCCTCAGTTATCTAGCACCGCATTGCTAAATACATTGACAAACAAATTAACATATAATTTTCATTATTTTTGAACCAACATGAATTGATAATGATGATGATTATTTATTCTAGCCGACTTTCGTAATGTTACTAACGTTAAGAAAGTCTGTAATAACCAGGCATCAATCTAGTGCCAATCAAATTTCCAACTTATAACCAGTCATCTATATTAATACCGGATAGTCTACAATACATTTAATTCCATATACGCTCATCAATGTTTTAGAACTCAAAAGAAGATGTGGTAGGCATTTGACGTGACAGGCATTTGATTTTGATCGTTAATTGAAAAGTTATCAACATTGCGCATGTGCGCACGGCGGACATATTGACGGTATAACCCTGCTACCCTTACACGTTATTCTTATGCATGGTTTTAGTTCTTGGTTTAAAAACAGCCTAATCCTTAAATAGCTAACTACACAGAAATCCTATTATATTATTGCAAACAGTCTAACTGACAGTATAAATTGGTCCTGGAAAGATCAGGCAAAACGTCTGTTTATATACGGCAATCGAGCAAGTCTATGCCATCTGCATTCGTGCTAATGAGCATGGATACTTAGCATTATTTTGTACAACATACTTCTGTTAATAACCTAGCATAAAAATCTATGAATCTAGCAAAAAACTATACGATATATATTCGAGACATTAATTAATACATCGCTTTTGCCCTAACGTTGCGTTTTGACTTGTTCTGGCTTGTTATTCGTCTAGATTTCCAGATTTAATGATTATAACAATCTGACCGCGTCAACATGTTTAAAAGCTGTGTCTATCCAGCTAACATTAACATAGCAATAAAAGTCACTAATAAAAATCTAGAAGCCCTGTCAGTGGTCAGGCCAGCTCATGTGTTAACCTCAAGATGAATTTGCAGGAGAGGAGGATTAGTTAATAGCTGATCTGCCAAGATAGATTAAACCCGCTTCTGTAAACCGCAAACGAGAAGATTTTTCCCTCAGGCCTGCAGGCAGATCCTTCACTGCTTAGAGGATGTTTAATGTTGACTCGAGAACATCGAAATAAAATGACTGATTCTAAACTGATTCTATTTCACCTAGGAAATGACACAAACTTTTTGTTAATGATGCTAAGATAAAGAATTCAAAATGTATGTGCAGCAACTGGAATATCATTTACTAGTTCCTGTTAGGCTCAAAACGCACTGCAGTCCCGTCTTCTGCTTCGCGATTATATGAAACAGCTGCTGCTTTCAGGTTTTTTGGGCGAGGAGCTGGCTTTGGTTTCGTTGGTGGCGTTTTCCTTCGGGAAATTGACGACTTCGGAGGCGGTGGTGGTTTTTTCTTGGGAAAGTCTCCTCCATCCCGTACCTTTGTTAAACACTGTAATCCCTTACGTGCTGTCAGTCTTGAGCTTGGCTCTTTGTTCCAACACGATGTCATGACGTGTTGCCAGATTCCCCATGGATGGTGCGTGCCATTAATGTGAGTGGGTCGAAGGTCCCGTTTCGTCACTTCTTCCAGAAGCATGTGCTGTGGTTTGCTGGCAATGGCGGCTCGAAACGCAGTCTCGCCGTACCACAGCTCCCAAAGAACATACCCAAAACTGTACATATCGGCCTTGCTGTTGTAGATTCGACCCTCGAAGACTTCAGGGGCTAAGTATATCGAGGTGCCGCATACTTTACCCGTTATTTCGTTTTCCGGTCTAGCCACTCCCACGTCTGCGAGTTTTACCTCTCCGTCGGGCGTCAGCTACACCAGGCAAAGAATATAAGGACATTGCAAAGTACATTACAGACGAAAATCAAACGATTAACTCAGTTAAATGAAAACTGGCTTAAACTCAGATTTTAATCTTCTCTACAATCTCTTCGCTGACCTGCCTCTTTATACCTGATTCTGAGCTGTAATTCGGCGGACAAACCTGTAAGCTACACAACATTCTACTCATAAACGTCAGAATTATTAGTGAAAACAGCACCGAAGACAGAAAAATATGCCTTTTTATCGATTGGAGCTTTCGGGCCTTTTTCCCGAATTTCGTAGTTCATCCCACCCCACTATGATAATAGAGGTCTTAGTTGCTTTAAGGGTATCATTAAGGACATCTTATCTCTGTATGTTTTGGTCCTAAGGACTAATTGCTCGGGACGACGTTATTTCAGTGGAATCTCACTTTTCGTGTCTTGTTATCTGACTGGTCAGTTCTGTTTGTGTAAATTGTAGCTGCTAAATTAGAGAATTAATCCATTTCCTAACGATTGAACGGAAATGTTCAGGAAAGACTAAGAGAGGAAGGGGATCCTGGAAAAGGATCTGGAAATCTTGATCTCACCAACTCACCAAAATAGTATCCAATTTTAAATCACGGTGAACAAATCCTTCATCATGAATATATTGCAAGGCATCCAAGATATTCAGAGCCCACCCTAACACCTTCTTCTTGACTTCTTCACTTGACAATCGCGCAGGGGCGTTCATCGGATGAGAAATTACCCAAGACCGAAGGGAGCAGCTGCACAGTTCTAGGACAATCAACACTTTTGTTCCATTTCGACCATGCTGAAGATTGGTTCCATAAAACTTCACAATGTAAGGATGAGTTAGTTTCCTAGCGAAAAGAATACATAATAAAAACATACTAGTTACAGCGAAAATTTGGACTGAATTAAATATGTATTTCGTCCATTTCTTACAAAGTTTAATTCAAGACGTAAGCTATGGCGTTGATTAAAATGATACTATTTCAGTTGCGCTTTCAAAAATTCGAAAATTTCTCGACATCTATATTGGTTTTATGGCCAACCCGCGACTGGATATACTGACTGAAGACATTTTATAAAGAGAGCAGTGACCACATTGTGTGTTATATTTGCGTGTTTGTGTGTAAGCCTGAGTAAATAAAGTAAAAACTGAAAAATTGTAATCCCCCTTGATAAGCCTAGGTGCTTTGGGGAAAAACAATAACAAATATGTTTAAATTAAAAACAAAAAAACAGCAACAACAAAAAAAAACATGAAGAATTCACAAAATCAATTTAAATAAAGATGGAGTACTATGTCAACGTCCTTGGAGTTTTAACTGACAAGCACTCTGCCGCATGTATAAGAGTCCACATTTTGGTCAAAACACGTTGATTACACAAACTCCACTTGTAAGTTAAGTTTGCAAAGACGAGTGGCCGAAGGGTGAACATGGATATACCGTTTCGAGTAAGAAAATAAGTTAAAAGAATATTTCCAACGTGATCATTTACGCAAAGTACATATCTTCAGGACTGTAAAGACGCGTGCATAAATATGTAGATATTTACGTTAGAAGATAGATGTACTCATTTCGAAAAGACTAAAGAGCATTTTACAATTCCGTTGAACAAAAGTAACTTTAATGGTTACATCGTTTTACCTTAAAGCTCGCTCCTCGTCAACGAAATGCCATATGTTGTTAGTCGTGAGTGGATCCCTGTACCTCTTAAGTGTAACCTTTATTTCTGGTTGTCCTTCGCGAGAAAGAACACCTTTGTACACTGTCGAGAAGCTACCTTCCCCAATAATGGACTCATCGCATTTCAACTCTTCATCTGTGAAAGCAGACTTCCTGACCTCACTGACATTGTAGACGGTCAGGCTGCGTTGCAACAACCTTATCTGTTCCTTCAAAGGCTCGTAAATTTCTTGAATTTCAGTTTTGCTTCTTTTGTTTTCAAGTAGTTGCTGGTACGACTGTTCGTCGCCTTCTCTCAGTCGAGGTATCTTCTCCTTGATCTGTTTAAGAAACTGCACTGCGTCTTCCAGTTGTGTATTGATGAAAGGAAGCAGTCGGTCGTGGGTAGAAATGACTTTAAGGCATTTACGTGATCTTTTTGACATATAGCTACATGGATCGTCGTTGTAGCTCTCCAGTTTAGTTTTATGATGGGTCATCTCCTTCAATTTGGCACCGAGCTTACTGAAAGCTAGAGGGGAACTAACAACCACAGATGCCAAGCCTTGCCGAAGCCATGTTGGCGCAGTACTTTTCTGGGAGTTGCTTTGTGTCACGTCTTCGTCTTGTGAAACGTCCGCTTCGGTCTCATCAAGGAAAGATTGTTCTTCCACCTTGCAGATTTCCTCTGCCATTACATCGTACTTTTCAGTACAATACTGGATCAATGAATCCTGTGCTTTTTTAAATTCGCGTTTGTCGTCTTCCCATTGCTGAACAAACTGGTGTGTTCTCTCAGAAACGTATTCCAGTGCTTTACTCTTCGTCTCTCGCCATGTCGCTAAGGCTGCGGGGGTTTCACCAATAGACCATTCACAAAAGCTCTTGATAGTTTTCTCGGATTTAAAGTGCGCCGCTAGCTTTTGAATGATCTCTTGAAATATTTGCGACTGATGTTGACTCAGTTCATCAAATCTACGTTCCTGAGAGCTTTTTAGTTCCTGCATACGACTCATCACTCTTTTGATCTCTTTCTCTGTTTCTTGATGCGACATTTTTGCTGACTTCAGAAACATTCTGATTTGACGAGAGACGTGTTTAAGGAGATCCTCGAGCCATCTGTTGGATAATCATTAAAACGTGATAAATTACTAACCTTGAGAATTCCCCGTTTTCCAGCTTGCCATAAAAAATATCAACAAATCAAAATTAATCTGATGACGTAAAGTATCAAAACCATTTCTATTTCCAAGCTTATTAACTCAGAATATATAAGATAAAGGTAAAACCCATTCCAGTTTTAAAGTAATTGGATCGAAAAGCCGGTGGCTCATCGGTGTGGACACTTATTAACTTCCGTTGCAGTAGCTCACAATACAAGGAGAGTTGCTGAATCTCCCCTGGATAGAACGACTTACAATCCATCAAATATTTTTGCTCGCGCGCGATTGGTCTAAGCACATCACGTGACTGAACATTCCCCGGCTAAAACTGGGAAATGTCTGAGTGTTATTATCCAGTTGTAGCGAATACGGTCCAAATAACAGTACAAATATACAGCGAGATTGTACATTTATTTGTACAGTAGAAAACCTGTTTGTCGGAAAGGTCGGCGCGCGCACGCAAAACTGTCACACTCTCCCTCTTTCGCTGACAAATTTATTGTCTACAGCAGTTGGATAATAAATCGCTTACTAGATGTTTTGGTGTGTAGTATCGCTTTATATTTTCACTCGTTGTTTGTATTTTGACGAGCCCGTATGACTCGTCCTACGGGCTCGTCAAAATACGACACAACTCGTAGTAATATACAGCGATACTACACACCAAAACATGTAATAAAATATATATATTCCCCAATTTCAGAAACCGCGCGTGTTGCGAAAAATCTTTGAAGGATAATAAACATTTAACGTGAAAATATGTTCGAATTTTTGTCCTTGGACATTATTTGTTCCTCCAAACTGTTCGCTCCTCGGAACAGATTATGTCCGCTGACAAATATTCCAGCATATTTCCGCTCCAAATGGAGGCTATTGTTTATACAGAGCATCGCAGCCAAGTAACCCTCAGCTGCCGTTCAATACAACAGTACCCATAAGGACTCCGGGGTGGGTTGATGCACTGTGAGAATAAAGCATTGCCTGACTCAGCTGGCTTGAATTATACCGTTCAGGCCACCATCATTGAAATTCATTCTCGGGCATACGTGCATGGAGTATATCTAGGGTCGTATATTTATTACTTATCTTCCTTTTGCGTAATTACAATTTTACTCACCGAGTATACATCAGAAGATTATTCTGCATAGATGATACAACGAGACTACGAATTCCTGCGATTAAGTCGTTAAACTCTCCTGTGATTACACCATACGTCTGAGCCAACTGTGCAGTCTTGCATGACAAATACACGATCTGGGATTTCGGGTTTAGGTTACCAAGCCTCTTCGTGAGTTTTTCGATTTGTTCCTTTTTCACTTCCTCGCGTTCTTTGCCGTCAATCAGATCCCACTTGTTGCAAACAAACAACGTACAACCGGTGAATAGTGTCAGGTCCATCTTGGCGTTTTTCTTGAGGGTTTGAGCGCAGTTGAGTATTTTTCCTAGCTGTTTAGGTTAACACAACAGAAGTGTACAAGTTACGGCTAATCCAAACGTCACTGAGGATTATTCAATATAATTGGTCACTGGCACGTTTATGCTCGTACATTAAGGAAACATTTTGTTTACTACTGAAAGTAAGGCTAAAAAGAGTATTTTGAATGCTCTGGTAAAAATTTCCTCGGTCGCTCGATCGAGGAGAGTGGTCGGTAATTGGAATGCTGAGAGAAAAGAATAAGGCAAAATTGGGAATTTATAAATATCGAAAGTTATTATATGGCAAGGTATTCTTCAGGTAAATCCGAGCCTTTTGATTGGTTCTTTCTTTGTCGGGATTTCGCCATACGGACCGTTTCCAAGGAAACAGTCATGAGCTGTGTATTTTTTTTGTTTGTTTTCGAAAGCCGGCAAATNTGGGGGGAGTAGTAAATCTTATTGCTATCTGATGAGCACTAACCCTTTTGTTACATTCAGTAACGGAAGTTTGTTTTATTCTGCAAACTATTAACTCTACAAACGCGTACCCTGTCCTCCTGAATCCCTCCAGCGTTGACACTGTTGATGACATACATGAAGCAGAAGGCACGAGGCAAGTAGTTGAGGACAAATTCACTCATGACGTCGCTTTCTCCAACTCCAGGGCTATCAACTATCATAATACCCTCCTGAAAGGACAATGATAATCATCGATTATAAAAGGCTATGAAGGGAACGTCCCTTATAAGTGACGTATAAGCAAATTCATCCATTTCCCCCCACTAAGATACAAGGAGGGGTTGATGGACGATGTAATGGATGATTTCGATACGAGACATATGAAAATTTTCTCAGAAAGCCTATGTTAGCTCTACGAGATGAGACTTTTTATTGATTATGACGTCACTGACGTCAAATAACGTTATTAGGTGGTCTTCTGATATATATACTTTTTTATAAAACAACTTTCTGGGACAGTTTTGGTATCACCTTAAAGGACTTTGCATTCTGACTTCAAAAAAGAGCTTGTCCTGGTCACATGTCACAACAGTTATTAAATAACTAGCCCCTAAGTGTAAAAAAGCGTTGTTCATAATATATTACATAGAGTGAGTTCATTCTCACGCAATAAAAAATAAAATCAAAAACCATTTAGCGGATAAAGTCAAGAAATCGTAATATTGTTGACGATAAATAAAGAAGACAGCTCTACAAGTTTAAGATCACTGTTGTCCCAAAGTTGAGATATTCGTCGAAATATTCCGCGCAAAATTATAGCGCCTAGTATGGAGTCGCCATGTTGGCGGACCTCCGTACTGCTCCAATATGGCGGCCGGAAAATAGGAAACAATGTGCAGGACCATGATGCAACATTCTCATAAGTACACATCGTTAAAGTTTTGTTGTAAAGTATAATTAAAATGTACTGAGTTAAAGCCATTTTGTAAGTGCTTTTGGGCTGTTAAGAACCGTTGCTATAGGCGTTGCTATGTTAAAATATAGCTACCAGTGCGCATCAAGCTGTCTATCGTGGCCGTTTTTGCCTTGTTATTTAATTAAAACTAGCGTGAAGGAACTCGATTTGCGCGTAGTCAATGAAATATAGTTCTAATATCACCTAAGAAGATTGAAAATTGGTATATCGTATAGGTCAACGTCATTTCGTCGCCTAATTCTAAAATAATTTTCATGTTATCATTTCGTTGCCATTATATATTACCTCAAGCAATGGGTGTGGCCAGAACAATTCTACCTTCTTGTAAGGTGTTTTTTCTCGATTGGTCCTCAGGCTGACGAATTTTTCTATCTGCTCTTGGTAGGTTTCTTCTCCATGCGTGACAAATTCATGGAACATTGGCTCACGATTCTCTGTGCCGGAATCCTTGAAGTGCACACCAATCTTTGGCTTCTCGCCATATTTCAACTCGCAGATTGTTGATGTTGTGCTCAACGTTGAATGGGGCAGAAGATCGTCTCCGAGAATCAAATTGATGACACTGCTTTTACCAGCACTTGTCTCACCTGTTCACAGAACATTTCAAACAGTGTCACTCGCACTGGTACTTTGCTTACTTTCTGTTATTATAGATTAATAATGGTAACAGGACTGAGTGGAATCCAATGATTGGCTTATGTAACTGTCCGATTACAGGTGTTCGATTACAGCTAACTGTCCGATTACAACTTTGCAGTTTAATTAGAGCAAAATACAGCAGTTTATGCACCAATCATATTTGAGGAAATTGTGATTGTTATGCTTAAAGCAGAAATTAAACTTGGACTGTAGTTAAAAGGTGTGTCAAGGTTTCTTGCTTCTCCTACTTAGGCTCCACAATATCAAATTTATGAATCTTCGTCTTTGGAATATGCAGAGGGAAGAGAGTGTGCATTCTGCAGACCGTGGACTAGTACCAGCAAAGTTTGGCTATTCAATCTGGAGATTTTGATGGGAGAATTAGATATTATTTGGCTTCTTTTTTTTTTCATATATGTTCCTCGAATTTCCAAAAAAACATAAACACCTAAGTTGACTTGTAGAGTTTTGATCCGTCAACTTTTTTCTTAATAATTAACAATCAACTTGTTTCATTGAAAGGAACAACGAGATTAAGATAAAGGAGAGTATGAGACAGATGGATTTCTTGTATGAAATTGGTTAGTCTGAGTTCTGCATATCCTTACTGGGTATCCTCGGTCTTCATCAAAACACCATAAAACGTCAAAAAGAACAAGCTGTGAAAATCTCTATCAAAAAATATTTTTGATATCTCTTTTTAGAGAAAACGTATAAAAAAACTTACCTGCATATAAAAAAACTTACCTGCAACAAGGACGATATACTGATCTCTCGGTTTGAAGCTTTCAATGTTTTCCTTCAAAGTTGTTTTGAAGTCTCCCAAGCTTGTTTGTAGCGTTTCTATGAAGTCGGTATCCAGTTTGTCCAGGAACACTTCAGTTGTGACATAAAGATCCAAAAGCTTCTCACGTTTTGCAGCATCTGATTTCTTAGCTTCCGAGAGGACCTGGTGTGTCTGAAGATGAAAACAAAATGGAAAACAACATTGACGATGGCAATCTCTCCCCACAGCCCGCGCGTTTTGGGTCAGCGATGAACCAACAAAATCCACTTTGGACAAAATCTAAAACCAGAGGAAGAAAATCCTCGCTCCGGTTCTATTGTGCAAATGCGTTGAGGTACGTTAACTATACTTCCCATATCACATGCGTAAATATTGGTTGCAAATACTTTACCACAAAAATAATCTTATTTTGATTACCAGTCACAATTGAGAGGATTGTAAGAGCGCTAAAATTTCCCTCTGTGGTTTCTGTTGTTTGATTTGGCCTTGTCAGAGTTAATGCCTAATGAATCATTTTTCAAAGGCTGCAAGACGGCAGTCACAACTTAAGCTCACCGTGCATATTCCTCCTGATAATTCAGTTTAAAATGTTTTTCTATACCAAGACTGAAAAGGCTGAAGCAGCTGTACATGGCCACTAACACTTTCAATAGAGTTTTCTTTATTTTTCGCTCGGATACAGGGTTAACACTCTTCTACCATGCAATGAAGCGATATAAAGTCCCTTTATTAAGTGGCCACCACTAACCTTTAGACACACTCACTAAACTAAATGATTCTTTTGTGGGAGCAACAGGGTTAAGTGTCTCTAACCAGTTACGCACTAGCTTTTTCTCCCTTTTTGATGGCTACAACTTGCAACAAGCATAGGTAATCATATGAATGCGAGTGTAATTAAGGATTTACACTACGAGAGATATTTAAAAATTCTGTCAAAATTGCACGAGCCTTTATATGACTCAGAAAATGACGAACGCGCGAGCGTTAATTTGCCCTGCAGTGCAAATGGAAAATTAACGATCAATTGGTCTGCTCTCACCCAATCGCAATGAAGTAATTTTCTCAGTCATATAATAAATCATTTAGTGTCATTGATTATTATTCACTAAGTTAGTAATCTATTGCAAATACTAATTCGCCTCAATACTTCCTGTTGCTGTTTTCCATGAGCCCAAATATTACGATGTCACGTCTTCTTAAGTCACGCCTAAACTCACGCAATAGAGCGTAACTAAATACCAATAAATCGTGTTACTTTCATTATCAATTTATGGTTGTAAGAACTACGCTAAAAGTAGCAGATGTTCTATTTCCCGGACTTAATGTCTTTCGTTTCCCTTAAATTAGCAAATGAGTGGTTTATTTACGATGCAAATTCCTATCTGAGATGACTGGACACCAAAACTGATTCAAAGTCAATTCTTTGTTGTTAGTTAGCGGCCATATTACAACAACATGGCGCATGTATATAAACAGGCACGCGCTGGATCCCATAAGCGCAATTAGTATGCATTGAATATCCATTGATTAACGTTTTACTATCTGTGCGCTCTCCATATGCATTTCATATTGCAAGCCAGTCGCTGTAGGAGCCTAATGAGAACGTGTTTAGTGCGCAATTCTTGTACGGTCCTGCCTGGCTCCTCCTAACCTCCTACAAGTGAAGATGATCAAGTCATCCTCTCCTAACGATCGAGAACATGCTAATCGATTTGCCTTGAGGCGCTAAAACAACGGCGAACCACGCAACATTTGAATGCTTCCACAATCAATTGATACCGGCTGACCAATCTGAAGAAGACTGATGGCTGATTACTTACCTCTCCAACCTTTCGTGTAGATGCTCCTTCTAAGTCTTTCAAATGTTTGCTCAGCGTGGTCTTCATCTCATCCAGAGTGTTGATTCCTTTCGTTGGAAGACCAAAGGATTTCATTATGTCGCAACATTCTGACATATCGTCTATTTTGTCCAGATTCGAAGACATCTTTTACTTTATCCGAGGTGAATGCGGCAGCTTGCTTGATCATGTAGCTTATTACAAATGGCGTCCGCACCAGACCAGTCTGTCGATGTCGTGCGAGCAACGTCAAAACTACTTTGCAAAGCGCTGTGTGGAAAGGCGGGAAAATCTTTGATCTCTAGTCATACTGCACGTAACAAGATGAGCTAGTAAAATGGCCGGAATACGTCGCTTTAACTACGAACAGAAATTTCAACAGGGCTTGCAAGAAACATAAACAATTCAAGCAACGTACTCAGTCCCCGTTTCTCATTTCTAACAGACCATAATAGTCGTCTACGGGCCTCTTCATATGAGCCCGGTAATCGGGCTGGCTCGGTTACGGGGACGAAATTTGATGTCTGTTCATATGGGAATTTCAGCCCGGTCGACCGGGATGAAAGAAACACAACTAAAATGGTGGAACATAAACTTGTATCGTTCGCGGCTGTCGCAGCTTTGTGGACTCTTGTAACTTTACTATTAAAGCTAATTCGCCTGCGGAAATACAAACAAGACAAAAATTATGCCACTTTGGCCGCTATGTTGCGAAAGCGAAGCTATTTTGTCAAAAAAGTTTCGTCCCGGGCTGGAGTGTTCATATGGGAAAATTGTCATCCCAGTTACCGAGATCTCGGTCGCAAAAACCGAAATCTCGGTAACAGGGCCGGCTTCTCATGTGAACACATCGACATTTTTACAAGGATAGAGTGGCGAGGCGAGATCTCGGAAACCGAGCCAGCCCGGTCGACCGGGCTCACATGAAGAGGCCCTAACATAGCTCAAATAGCACTGTAGAGATGCCCAGCGAAACCACGCATGAAATAATTTTCGAAGTTTCGAAACACTGTATATTGAGGTAAGACTAAAGAAATTTAAAAGAATTTAGTCCCCAAGCATAAAAAATTAATTTCCTAGACTATACACCGATTCTGGTATTTCCATTTCTTTCGCATTTTATTTCGACGTCGCAATGTTATTTTCATTTTCGAGAAGATGTTCGTTCCCTCTTTTTAGAAAACCAGGCCGTTTCAATTCAGTTTACAAAGGGGAACATTTTTTCTGACGAAATAACTGTTAGGCTAGCTACCATGTGTTTTTTTCTCTCTCCAATACTAGTATGCAAATTTCAGGCTCTCGAGTTTTGGGGACGTTTCCAGGCGAAGTTTATTTACGAAGGGCTCCAGTCGAGAAAAATAATGTCTGAGGTTGCAAAGTGGTTGCAGGGTTTCGTAATGCAAAAACTATCGGGTAACGATGGTTTTAGGAAGGCGAAACAATCCAAAGGTAGTTTAATTTTCTGTTTGCTTCCTTGTTTTTTCTTTTCTTTTCAATTCTTTTCTTTCTTTTTTTTTTTTTTAACTTCGAAACACTGTCTCGCCTTTGCTCAAACTTCAACAAAATTGTTCGCTGACGGTCTTGCTTTGTTTCCGGCGGGATTATTTTTCATGCATTTTTAGCCCTCATTCTTCATTTTAGCNGAAGGAAGCTTTTCACGTTTAGTTCTCTACCAGTGTTATGTATATAGCAGCAATACAAATCCATTGAAATTTGGGGAAATGGCTCTTAGCAAAACCAAAATTATCGAGGAAATCGACGATCTGTCCGAAATGTTTCAAGCTATGGCTGCTCTTGGTATTTCGTGTAAAGGATTAAAAACTTTGGACGACATGAAAGCCCGAGCAAGAGCTGAATTAAGTCAGACACCAAATAAGCCAAGCTGGACAGCAGGACAGGTATGAATTAATTGATTATGAACAGAGGGCACGCATTTTTTAATTTTACTGCGATCATGAGGTAGTTTTCTGTCGTTTGAGAACCGACTAAGCACAGTCGATAAAGGGAAGCCATGACTAGCGGGCTCGCTGAAGAAGAGGCAAGATAGAAATGTTCAGTTTGCCTCAGCTCAGGACCCTCAAAGATCTCTAAAGCGATTCGTGATCCGCTTCCCATGGTACAAATTTGATTTTGATAAAAGTGAATGCAGGTCATTCCAAGTCAGGCATCCATGCTCGATACGAGACGACTAGTTTCGACTCGAAATGAATTTCGATTTGCACGACTCGTGGATAACTAAAGTCAGTATTCACTACCCGACAAGTACAGCTCAGTGGGGAACTATCAGGGCTAGCCAAAACGCCGCATTTTACGCTCTTAATGTAACACCAGAGGAAGCAAGGAAAACTGCTTGTACATCTCGCTCTTTATAATACAGAGGCGTGAGTTTAGAACCCTCCATTAATACACCGAATGACATGTATATAAACTATGGTATGTACAAAAAAAAAAGGAGAGGAAGCAAGGAGGAGAGCATGTACGCATACTTCGTTCTATAAGCGTGAGTCTAAAATAAAGACTACTAGCTCCTCGGGACTAATTCACGTCTCGAGCCAAATTTTACGTATTTAATTTACTACCATCGATGACCAATTTATATCCGACGTGCTATATTTTCGTAGGTGAGCGCAGAATCGACGACTAACGCTGATCAAATGAAACGACTGCCGAATCCAAAAGTCGTTACCTTTTCCTATTGAAGCGCTAGTCAAGAAACTGTAGCACGCCTCTTCATCCATTCCAGGAGGCTAGTAACTAACATTCTTTCATTGAAAGTTGTTTTCGTAACGCTTGAAAGCCCACCTATGAAATTGAATGTCAACGCTACGTGTCGATTTAGCCATATTGTAAACTGAAGAAATTCATAAGTAATACGCCTGCTTATTAAAATGGAAACTTCCTAATTGTAATCAAAGTTAGAACAAAACTGCGCCGTTTTTAAAGGCACAATCTCCGAAAATTTCTTTTGCCTTGCGGAGTTCGCAAAAATACCCGCGTTCAAATGAATGATGTCTCGTCCTGATCACTTGATGGGATGGAACGGAATAAGTCTGGCCCAAATTCAGTCGCCTCTCTGTCGTCGCTCGCGGCCGGAGTGGTGTTTTGCGACAGAGAGACGAGAGGCCATTAAAACCTGCAGTGAGCGATGAAAGCGGCCTGAATTTCCGGTCTGGATAGGACTGAGGAAGCCAAAGCTAATTATTAGAGATACGAACAATTGGGCCAATGGTAAAGCAATCAAATCAGTTTAGTTTTAAAGCAATATTGTGTGTTGTTGAATGAGTTAAATCGCATTTAATAAACGTTTACTAATAGGAGAGATTAGTGTTACGTTTTTCGTCTGAAAATGAATGTTATTTACCATTTGAATGCGTGACAACGAAGAAAAGGTCATCGCAGGTCGTCATATATGCCATGGTAGGTGTGAGTGAGATTAGAGAAAGAAAAAGTTTCAGGTTTACATCTAAAATTACCATAAACTTGGCTCGAAGATCTGTTAAAAAAAAACAGACAGCGATATGTTGAAACTCTGCCAATGGGTCACGAAATTAAACGTCTGGAAAGCTAGGATATTATTTGAGTTGGACAGTTTGAAACGATTGGTGAGGCAAAGGAACTTAAGTGATCGAGGCTTCGCACGTATTCCTCAATATGACTCTTTTAATGTTTATAATCTCGCATATTTAATGAATAATAAGTCACTCACTCAGTCATGCCCATTACGCCGGTTGGCGTGCAGGGCAGCAACGTAATTCCTCTACATATGCCGGTCCTTTGCCATGACTTGAACGCCATTCCAGGTCTTTTCCATCTGCTTCATTTCCTTCTTCACCGAGCGCCGTCAGGTGATCTTCGAGTTACCCCTCTTCGAGCTTTCCCTCTGGCGTTCAGTGTAGGGCAGTATGATGATGGAGGGTTCTTGGCGGATGACATGGCCAATCCACCCCGAGCGCCACCTGATTAGGATAGTAGACATGGATATGGTTCCACGCCATTCGAGAAGGTCTTTGTTTGAGATGGTGTTGGGCCAAAAACTGTGCAGAATGTTGCGAAGGCTGTTGGTGTGAAATGTGGATAGGTTTGTTAAATTTTCTCGGTCAATCCCAGGCATTCCGAAGTGTACAGGAGACTTTGACGACACAGGTGTGGTATAGTTTCTACTTGGTTTGAGTACTGTAAGTGGAAGAGCGCCGAACCTTGTTGATCATGTTGATAGAGTTTCTTGTCTTGTTGAGAGGGCGCCGGCTCTAGAAGTTAAGGACTGCTCCTCCATCTCTGCTGAGGATGCTACCGAGATAGGTGAATTTTTTGTCCGCGCGGTATGAAAGGTCTTCATTTTTGACCTGGACTGGGCGGCTTCTGTTGTTGATATTCTGTTCCTAATTTAATAAGTCTTCTTACTGCTGCTCTTGAGACCGACTAACTATCCAAAGACATTGAGTCGCCGCATCGCTAATCCAGGTCTGCCAGAGAAGGGGGTCTTTTCTGATGCCCCTGATCTGGTCCTCTGTTGTGCGCCGCATGATCAGCTCTACGAAGAGATTGAAAAACATTGTGGACAGTCTTGACTTCGAACAGGATGTCTATGTTACAAACAATTAATGCAACAGGCAAAGTACGTTGCGGTAGAAGCTAAGCTTCTGTTGATCTCGATGAGTTGAGAGGGGATTCCAAACGCTAGTAGTAGCCGCTAGAGGCTGTACCAGTGCATGCTGTCGAACTGCTTTGCCGACATCCGACAAAGATTCGAAAAGTTCACACAGAGGAACCGCTCTCCTTCGGTACACTGTTTAATAATATTTCTAAGCGTAAAAATATGGCCTCATCAGCCTCTTCCTCATTGAAACCTGCCTACCCCTCTCGAAACTTAAGGACCACAGCCAGTGATAGGAGCTTCATTGATGACTTCTGCAACGATCTTGCCTGGACTCAAAAATAATATTGTATGGCGAGGGGATTTTAGGAGCGCAGAGCTCAGTAACTTTGGATATAGACGCTTCGTTTTGGTGCTCAGTTTCTCATTGATGGTTGCCATGATGAATGGCACGAAGTCCTTCTGTTAATGCGTATAAAAAAATTTCTGTGCTGGTCTCAGCATATATTTGCTTGTATAGAAGGTAAATGCTTTCTACTCCAAATTCGAACAACTCGCAGAGCGTTTTACAATATTTTTGTTTCTCAAATATGTTGTAACCTATTTTTCCTAAATTCTACTTCCATGAAAGGAAAGGTTTCTTTATTGACTTTGTTGTTCTTTTTTCTTTGGAAAAAATGATTTGTTTGTGCCTCTTGAATGATTTGTGATAGGCTCTGCTGCAGTAAATACTTGTCAAGGCCTTTTTCGCGCCTTTTGTCTCCAACTACAAAGAGTTGTACCAATAAGGAACCCCTACTGAGTTCTAGCAATATAGTACTCACAGGTGAGCAAAACAAGCTAAGTAAACGTCTTATGGATATGAGCCAGGGCTATAAACTTGGCCGTCGTGGTGACTGACTCCGAAACTTACAAATTGACTTAAACCGAACTTTATGGAAAACTTTTGGCAAAAGCTGAGTCGCAATCAACTTAACTAGTACTAACGTTTACCAAAATAAGTCTAGGTGAAAATCAGGTAAAATGCTCTCAGTCGGAGCAACCTTTGATGTTTTAACGGGGAACTGTATCAACTGAAAATTACATCCATTTAAAGTCAAATAACATCAACACTTTGAAAATGACTCGTTTGCTATTAATGGGTACATTTTAATGTACATTTGAAGGCATCTTAAAAGATGCTGAAATTTAACCGGGATGTCGCAAATAGCATATAGCATTTCATAACCACGCCCGAGGAACTTATCACAAAGATTGACTAATAGTAATATCTGAGATTTGCCGAAATACCGAAATCTTTTCTTGAACATCCAAGACTGAGACTTCATACGATTTTGGACTCTGAAGAACAGAGAAAAACGAGACTTTTTGAACCATTATAAAGGATTCCGAGACCCACAAATTTCGTTGCACCATTCACCACAGCTACTATAGGACTGATCAACTCCATTATTCACCATGGATTCCAGTAATAAAGTTCTTATCTTTATTCTCAGGCCTTCTCGATTTTGTCACAAGCAAAAGACGAAGATGAAAGGAAAAGAAGAGTGTTGCTGAATTTTTTCTCTGAAAGCGAGAATTGTCTGAAGAAACTGGATTACAGACTTGTTCAATTGCTAGAGCAGAACATGGGCCCCATTGAAGAAAAAATAAAAAGTCACGAAGAACAACTTAAACAGAAGGAATACTTTCTTCTTGTGGCAGGTAAATGATTATTGTCAGCTGAAGCTCGTAAATGTGAAAGTCGTAACTAGAGCTGGCCGGCTACAAGGGTAAAATCCTGTGAGCGATCACCCAAAGAAAAAGTGAGTTGGTCACTAACAAGAGCTTCCAACATTCGAAAAGGATCACGAATAAAGCAGCCCGATAGAGTAGTATACAGATCTATTGTTCATAACAAACAGAACAAAATTCACCTATCTACATATTACCTTTGGTTTTCTTTTTACGTGGATAGTCGCAGATAACCGCTGGTAGCCACACCGGATATAGTCACAGTCGCTTAAAGGAATGGCCACAAACGGGAGCTTTTAATTACAATTTGGTATCGGGAGAATCAGCAGGCTTTCATGAGGGTGGTCGCTGAGGGAAGCTGGTTTCTTATGTTACAGGTGAGACAGGATCTGGAAAAAGCAGCTTGGTGAATCTCATTCTGGGAGAGAAACTTCTTCCATATTCTGTACTCAGTACAACGTCCACCATATGCGAACTGAAGTATGGAGAGCAACGAAGAATTGTGGCCCACTTTAAGGACAAGGATCCTAAGACAGGGCTTCCAACTATGGAGTTCCCTCTACAGGCTGAATCCTCTGAACAAAGTTATCTTCAGCAGATCTCTCATTATGTTCACGTGAAGAGTGATCGAGAAAAAGGTTCAGTTTACAAAAAGATTGAACTCTTTTGGCCTCACCAGCTTTTGGAGGTATTTATTTGCGATGTGATAACAAACTAATCCCTTCCCGTAATTAATTATTTGAAAAGTAACCAAAAGTATTCCGAGGACGGGACAAAGCAAAGAGGTTCCACGGAATCCATTTGTTGTAGCTTAGTACACTGTTATCACACCCAATCACCACCTGAGTCATGTCCTTCCCTTCACAGCACAATTCATTAATATCCAAAAGAACCTTCAATATTAAACACGCATACAAAACGTTTAATCATTCCTAGGTTTCAAATTCTACTTATTTTGTGAATAATCTCATATGCCTTCGTGGGGTAGTTAGAATAAAAGGCAGCCAACCTTTCTACTGTCTATATTTCAGAAAGGCGTAGTAATAATTGACAGTCCGGGTGTTGGTGAGTCCGACATCATGGATGGGATAGTCACGCAGTATTTACCAGAAGCCTTTGCGTTCATTTATGTCATAAACAGTGCAAACGCTGGAGGAGTTCAGAAAGACAGAGTAAGTATTGGCAATGAATGAAGGCAGTAAGAATACTATGTCGTACTGAAGGTATAGGTCTACGAGCCCCTCCAGGCGTCAAGTGCAAGACTCGTTCGGACTCTTGAACGGAGAACAGCCATAGAATTCACACTCAAAAATTAATAAAATCGCGCTAATCGTTAATTGGGTCATTACAGTCATTTGGCAGAATTTTTGGGATAGAAAAGAATTATTTTTGGCTCTTGTTGTTAGTTTCTGTTGAAACATTTAGTTGTATGGAAATTCTTTTAACCAGCGTTGACGATTTCCGCGCTGCTTTAAACGCCTGTGTATCGGTGGGAGAATGTTAACGTTAAAATAAAACGACCATTCAGCGTGACTATTGCTAGGAAACATTAGCTTGTAATTTATTAGCAGTAACTCAACAGTTAAAACCACGAACTGTACTAAACAAACATCGTGCAAGCAAAATTTATTTTATTATTCATCTAAGAATAAATGTATGCGGCTGGCATCTCCAACACCAACTTAGCCACAACCACTTGTCGATGGTGTTTGTCCACCTCCACCGCCGCCATGCCCACCACCTCCGCCAGCACCGCACTCGCCGCTGCCTAGGAATTGTAATCTAAACATTTTAATCGCAATTTTAAATTTTTAGCAAAGTTAAATTTAAATACACGACCCCACAAGCTTTTAGCTTTAATTATTATCGTGTTTAAATAAAGTTTATCTATCTATCTATCTATCTATCTATCTATCTATCTATCTATCTATCTATCTATCTATCTATCTATCTATCATCACCGCCACCCCACCGCCGCGATCACATTTCTATTATTGTTTTTGTCTACCACCCCAACCCCTACCACCACCACAACCACCACGGCCACCACTGCCACCACCACCACATTTCTATTTTATGTCCACCACTTCGGTCACCGTCAACTCCGCAGGTACCGCTACCACCACCACATTTCTATTTTTCGTCAACGACCACCACCATCACAATATTTCCAGGCCATTTCTTTTGGTCTACTACCATCGTCGCCAGGGCATGAACTTTGACTGAACAGGGCGTGTGATTTTATGTAAATATAATCTGTCCTTAGCAGGGTCCGGACGTGTCCTAAACAGGGTGTGGATGCACAGTTGTTGTTGTTGTTAAATATGGCTCATTCAGCACTGATCAATGCGAGATTTGATAAGCTTGCCGATATATCAGGAACGTTTTCAATCAACATCAGAAAATAATATTGTACTGTATGGTTGTCAGTATCCTTTATTCTACCTCGTCCATTGTCCTAAACAGGATTCTAGGATATAGGGTGTTGTCTTCCGTATGGTATGTAGTTTTAAATAAAATGTTTTCTTTTCCTAAACTGGATCGGCGCCTTTATAACAAAATACGGATTTAATACGCCCCAGGGATTTTTTTTGCCCAAAATGTTTAATATGTTCAAATGATCACTTTTACTTTTGATTTTCAGCTTGAAAAGCTGCTAGAAGACGTGAGAAAAGTGACGCTTGAAGGACAGGGAGGATTTTCTCCCCAGTGTGCCATGTTCGTGTGCAACAAGTGGGACCAAATACCTGAGAAAGAAGCTAGCGAGGTCAGGAATCATGTGATCAAAAAGCTGAAGAACTGTTGGCCTGGTCTTGTTCCCGGGTCACAGATCATCCATATATCGACGACGAACGCCAGTATCGCTCAGAACCACGGAATAATCACCGAAGCCTTCTCCGCTCTTATGAATTGTATGAAGTGTATGGTCTTGAAGAGCATCGAGGCCAGGCTAGAAATGCATTGGAAGTAAGCACACTATGGTCCGCTTTTAATTTGTTTACTTTGAATGGAAAAAATCAGTCTGCTTGAGAACAATTTATAGGAATTGACTGATAAACGCACGAGAACAGGTGATAGCTTTTTTAGTGAGGATTAGAAATAACAAAAAGGTCGGCTTGTTCGTGTTACGCTGTTTCCGAGTTGATAGTATGCAATATAAAATTAATTTTCACTGTCCAGCTTGTATTAAATCGGTCAGTATAGCAAACCAAATTATATATCAGCAATTTAGTTCTTATTGCGATGGACAAAATACAGAATAAAAGAAAATTACATAAACATAGCGACATTGAAAGGGAATGTAAAAAGATATCAACAAGAACCAATGAAACAACTCCAACTTTGGTTATAACTTGAGTTAGTCAGTAACACAGGTGTGATTTCTTTTTTTTTTTTTAAGGTGGTTGGATTGTCTTCTCTCGCGAGTAATTTACCAAGGAAAGGTTTTCGTGATGAACGCTTCTAGAGACCACAAGAACGTACAGCTGAGAATGAACCTAATTCTTCGCCGTTTGAGTCAGATTAAGGCCGAACAAGGTCAAATCATTGAAAAGCTTCGCAAAGATATGAAAGCCCATGTTAATGATGCTGTAAAGAGGCTCTCCGAATACCTCAAATCACCTGATGTCAGAGCTCGCTTCACCTCATGGACCTTGGACGAAGTTCCAAAGGCCGAGCACTCCTGGGAAGTGACCAAAAGCAACATCACAAAAGCGTTACGAGCCCGTCTGAAAGAAATCGTGGACCAATGGGAGGAGGATAACCAAGTGTTTACAAACGCTCGTGAGTCACTTGCACAGCACTTTCAAGAGCGGTACAACTTTGTTGAAGGGCAACTCCGAAATCTCCAAGGAGCTGCCACAGCTGAGGACCATGATATGCCAGAAAGTAATCCTCCAGCAAAACCATTGTTTACAACAGGTGAAAAGGTTATCATCGGAGTCGCTAGTCCAATCTGGGTTCCACTTAGCCTAGTTGCGTTGGTGATCGGCGCCCCTGTGGTCGGCATACTGGCGATTAAAAGCAAGATAGAAGATAAAAATAAAATTACTAAATACGAGAGAAACAAGTGTGTTTTTATGGCAGAAGCGTCCGCAAACTATCTGGACGGTGTATCAAACGAAACCGTGCTCAGATTCTTCGTGAAGGACCAACTGAAGGAGGCTAAGTTGTGTCTGAAGCAAATTGAAGCCCGCATTCCAGAGCTTATCGGGGCTGACGAGCTGTTGTTTAATCAACTCCGTGACGAAACACGCTCTCAAAAAGAAATACAAGACCTATACCAACCATCAGTGGATGAGGCGTCTTATATCAGAGGACATCTGGCATTATTTGGATTAAAAGAAGTCCGTGCCGTGGACATCAGCAGCCATGAATTAGACTGGAAAGAAGACATTTCCCTCCGCCTTGGGTGTGGTGCGTTTGCCACTGTGTATCAAGGAATGCTGAAAAAACATGAAGTGGAGCAAACCGTGGCATTAAAGGTTTACAACGCAGTGCTTGATGCCATAAATGCAAACCAAATCATGGCAGAAGTGGAACTGCTGAGGTGAGGGGGTTGTCTTATATATGTTCTTAGCTTCTTGACCCTTTAACTCAGGACACTGCAAAAAGCAAAACAAAGAAACAAATATTCCAGATAGATTACAAATAAGACATGTCTCCAAACTGGTAAGAAGTTGACCAGCTGGCTATTTACAAAACGGAGCACCAAGTTGAACTTTGCATAGGTTAACGAGAGCTGATGCAGATAATAGTAGGATGGGCAATTTAAATCAGGGACCTTCAGAGCTCAAGTTCAGCTCCCCAGCAACATCTTCCTATTAGACCCATAACTATAAGATATATATATATATATATATATATATATATATATATATATATATATATATATACTGCAATGCACTGATGAGGCCCAAAAGGCCGAAACAGTACTGTCTGCAGTTATATATATATATATGTCTGGATTTATGAAAACGGTGTTAAAGACTGAATCAAGTGTTTTTTGTTTTATTTGTTTTTTTCATTTTTTTTTTCT